TTTTTTTTTTTTTTTTTTTTTTTTTTTTTTTTTTTTTTTTTTGTTATTTTATTTATAAATAGATTTCATTTTCAAGTTTGCCAAATGTAATTTCATCATGTTTGCTTTACCTTAGTGGTTTTGGAAACATGTAAAATAGAGGCAACCTTGAGGGAGCTTATGGAAATCAAGAGGTCTGACTATTACAAAGCAAAAGTGAAAAGGAACCGGAACAGAGATGATATTGAGGATAGTTGGAAGAAGAGTCTCACATCGGCTAATTAAAGGGTTGATCACGAGTATATAAATAAGGAATACATCTTCATTGGTGTGAAGTTTTTTCAACGAAGCTTTTTAAGGAAATAAAAAACAAAACCTTAAAAGCTTATGTTCAATGTGGACAATTTGTATCATTTTGGATGTTTCTGGTTCCTAACAAATGAGTCTTACGTAAACACCTTGCTGTCGAGTAAAAGAGTGAAAGAAGATTCAGTAGCTCTCGGTTCCGGTTCATTCGTTGATCTTTCTTTCATTTGTTGAGTCAGAATCAAAGGAAAGCCAAGAGAAGAGACGGTAAAAGAGTGCTTTTCAAGATGAATTCGAGTTCACTGTAAGAAAAGACTTTTACCTTTCACGAAAAAGTGACTTTGCTACTTGGTTCAACTTGAAAAGCGTCAATTTAGCACCGAGAACTGTAAAAGGTATTCTTCACAAGATTAAACAAGAGATTCTCGATCTCAATCCCTATTATATAAATAATGTCAAATTCCGTTGCACTAACAGTTGGGAAACTTTGGACACATATAGCCAGCTATATGCATGGTTTCTTTCTATGTTGAATCTAGGAACATAAATGACAAGCTCTCGAACAAAACTACGAACATATTTACATCGTCAAAGCTCTCAAACAATTTATATTGTACAATAATATTGGCAAATGCTACAGGCATTAAGTTGATCATCCAGCATCCGATAAGAAAATTAGTTGCTCTAGTGCACCGAACCTGGAGAGACAAAAGCAACATCTACCAAGGAGAAGCCTCATATTCTATCCATCACCATCTCTACTCAAAGATCGAATCCCACATTTCATACTGAAGAGAACTCGAAACCACTCCTTGAACGAGAAACAAAAGCAGGACTTTCACCTTTCATCCTTCTGTGATGCCACATCCTTGTAGAGAAGAAAATAGTTCTTTGACGATTTGGAAAACAGCTCACTTTGATTGTCTTTAGAAGTTATTAACAGAGATGTCATCGGCTGCACAGAGTTGAGGAGAAGTTGAAGCTGAGAACGCAGATACGAAGCTTCCTGATCACTTTCACAAGATTCGGCAATAAGTTGCAGAAGTTTGGAACTCTGGTCTTGAGAGAAGGATAGGTGTGGGGAGCCTGGGGGTACGAGGAAAGGATGTTGAAGTAACCGAGGAATTCTCCACCTCTCATGGCGGTCCCATGCAAGGCACTTCTTCATAAGATCAAGAAGCCAATGGTTGCCAACGGGTTCATATTTAATCTTATGATTTGGGTCTGTAGTGACTTTAAACTTCGACCAGAATGTCTTATACTCGGAGAAGGGGGTCCTTCCATAAACCATTTGATAAAGAATGCAGCCAAGGGACCAAATATCAGATGGTCGACCACACTTGATGGTGTTTCCATTTGCATCTTTCTCATTGCACATAAATGCCTCGGGTGACATGTAACTCAGTGTACCCACCTGTGATATGGAAAAATTCAATATCCAAACATCACGAATATGAACAAAAATTGATACACCTTTGCATTATTGCACATTGGAATATTCTGTACCAGGTACATCCGCCATGTATAAACAAAAGCAAGGGAGAGCATCAAATGATATTCACCTGTGAATCCCTTTGGATATGAGTAGTATCACTCATTATGGCTTTTGCAATACCAAAGTCAATTAGTTTTAACGAGCCTTTGACGAGAAGAAAATTTGCGGGCTTCAAATCAGAGTGAACAATGCGTTCCTCGTGTATGGTGTTTACAGCTTGAAGAATTTGCTGCCACGTATAAAGACATTTTCTATGAAATAATCAATCTATAAAGAGAGCACGTAAATGTTGCAAATGATGGAAGCAAATGAGAAACTGTACAGGTACAGTGAGGATTCTTTGTTCACGAAACCAATCAAAACAATCCACATGCATAAAATCTTATAATAAACAAAATTTAAAATTACAAAGCACGTGGATGATTCAACTTCTATCACAGAAAAACATGGTAATCTTTTTTTTTTTTTCCACAAATTTACTGTTTAAATATGAAAGGTTCAAGATTTTGTTTTTCTCCGAAGGAAAAAAGAATGTTATTCCAATTCTGAGTACAAGTAAAACAATAGTCTGAACACAGGGTATTGATATGACTCAATGGATGTGATATATTATATATCAGGAAGAAGATTTTGTTTTTCTCCAAAGGAAAAAAGAATGTTACTCCAATTCTGATTACAAGTAAAACAGTAGTATCTGAACACAGAGTATTGATATGACTCAATGGATGTGATATATTATATATCAGGAAGAAGATGAAAATTTACTGCCAAATAGAGACCATTAGCTAGGAACAAAAATTGTTCATAAATGCCGAGGAGAACGAAAAATAATTGTGAACATTAATAAACGTGCACTTATTGCTTAGCTAGATTCTAAATGGGAAGAAGGGATCACCTGCCAATAGAATCGAAGCCAATTTTCATCTATTATCTGATCGGAGCCATCAATTTCCTTCCATTTCTGTGAGAGCATGTGAGCCAAATCAATTTCGCCATACTCTAGCACCATGTATATATATCCATCATCCTTAACCCTAGCATCTTTATGATTCGTGGAGCCATTCAACACTTCCTGAAGTAAAGTCCTATCTGTTACCTAAAAAGAGAGGTTCTTAGATAATCCTGACATAAATGTACATGAATGACCGATAAATATTTCACAGTTTAGACACAAAATGATCAAACACCGATTCCATTTGATATCATTTTGGTTTTAGTTTTCTAGTTTTTATGAATTAAGTGTTACTACTGATTTCTTTCTTTCCAATTTAGTGTACCAAAAATGTTTTTAAATGCATAGTCATGTTTCTGAAAGAGGAAAACTAAACAAGAAATTTTTTAAGCAAATACGTCTAGTTTTTAAAAATATAAACTAAATGTGAAAATGTAAGAAATGGAGCCAAAGTATTTTGACTATTAGAAGCTACGAGGAAAAAATGTCAAGTGCCTTCTACAGTTTTACTTATGGCTCAAACGCCTAAAGCATGGGCTGAGATAGTAAGATGATCAACATTCGAACATTGGAAATGAGAGATGTAAATATGAATGCAAAAGACATAAAAGATATCAAGATGAAGATACATACCTCATAATCTACAAGTTGTATAATGTTATCCTTTCCTTTCAACTTATTTAAATACACAATCTCCTGACAGAACCCATAAGCAGTGGTATAATCACGACCTTTTAGTTTAATTTTCTTCAGTGCATATATCGTGCAATCTGATGAGATAACTTTGTGAACCTCACTGCTTCCTCCACTGCCTATCTTGCCAAGTCTTTGATAAAGCTTTCCATTAACCTTAAAAAACATGTCTGGATCATAATTCCTTTTACGAGTTGTTGATGTGTTCTTCCCACTTGCCACTTTTTCTTGTTTTTCTGAATCAGAGGGGTTCAAATTCACATCCGAAACTGCCTTTCTGGGTACTTGGGCCTTGGACTTTGAATCAGTGGCGTCCCCTATGAAACATTTGCCTTCATATGATTTATCATTGTGTTGCAAAGAATGTTTCGAAATATCACTATCTCTAGCTAACTTTTCCCTCTGATCCTTAGAGATGTCATAGTTGCTTCTAACATTTTCTGTATTAGCAGTAAGACCCTGAGCATGTAGGGCATCATTGCCTTTCCCATTCTTGACCTCGTCCGTAATGTCCTTTAGAGAAGACCCTGATGTTGGCAACACACTTCTTTTAGCTTCATGTTGAATATTTGCATTAAAGTCACTCAAAGGTTCGGTAGCAATACTACCACCACTTTCTTGATGCAAATGAGAGCTATAGGTCGTTGAATTAAGCATAAGCACTGAATTTGAGTGAACAGACGTGGTGGTTGCACAAGGTGGATCAAATGAAGGTTGACAAACTGGTTGAGTCAAAAAGTTTTCAAATCGCTTGAGTTTTTCTTCCACAGCTGGCGTTTTTTGTGCCAACATTGAAACCCCACCATTGTTCTTCACGTTCATATCAGTCTCTGTGTTTGGGAAACTTCGGTGCTTACATTCACCATGATTGATGACACTATAAGCTTCTCCTTGGCGGCCGGCCATCCAATCCATCTCTGTCAAAGCAAGTGAACGCATATGAGATGATAAGTTTTCCAATCCA